TGATGATGATGAAATAACATACACCTCATGCAAAACCAGCCCTGGAGCCATTTGCTGGGACACACACTCATCAGCATGTTTGAAAAATCCTGTTTTCCTGTTAACTGGCTTTGAAGCAGGAGTTCCTTGGAGGTTTATTTTGCCAGGCCAAGTGGTCCATGGTACTCAACTCCCCTGAGGCAGTGTGCAATATTAACCCCTGTGTGAATCCAGTGCCCAGGCAGCAGCCGCAGGAGCTGGCGCGAGCGTCGAGCCTCGCTCAGAGTCACTGAAAATCAAAACATGTCAAGTTTGTGATTCCACCCACAGACCAGAAAACGCCAAACTTGTATTATTTTTGAATCCCCTGATTTTTCAGGGCTGGTGGAAATAAGATATCTTGCTTCTGACTTCCAAGTAATAAAGAGAGGTGAATCACTACTGCAAAAACCCTCCCATGGACCACCCAGTTGTTCTACAAAGCTGTAAACCAGAAGTGGCAAAGTGCAGAACTGTTTTCTTAACATGACTGCAATTGCACGAGGAACCACCTCAGTAAAGGATCAGAGTTCCCTAACAAAGCAGCTGAGTGAGAAGTGTGTTAATTAGGCTGATTAATATGCAACAAACTAAATCACATTTGGGTCAAAGGGGGAAGTGCCAAACCTCAAGTGTAACATGTTCTCTTCAAGGACCCAACATGTGTGTATAATTCAGATTTAAATAGTTTTTTCCCCTCATAATTCTGGTTAATTATCCTACTCAGTATTTATTTTAACTAAATAACAGGTAGGATTTTTGTTCTTTACTCTGATTGGTCAGATCTCTCCTTTTTTAAGATTCTGTGACTTTCTGAAGAGTCCTCCTGGGGTTTTGAAAATTGTAACTTGCAAATCACTATATTGAAAACCATAGTCAAAAATCATATAAAATATGAAATTGCATGTTTTTAACATTTATATGTCGTAGTTTTTAATGAGAAAACAGGGATGTTTTTAATAGAACTCTGGCTGAAAGTCCTCAGACCCAAATTGTCCATGTGTTATTGATGCTTGTACTGTGGAATAGTATTTTGGGAGACCAGATCTTAATTTGGGAGAGCAAATTCCACACTGAGCCTGTTTTAGGACATGCTGGATGGAGGCACTCTGGGGTAATCCATATGGAAACTCTAGGGACCACTGTTTGGCTGTGCAGATATTTCGGAGTGGACTTGTAATTTAGACATTGAATTTGTAATTGGGAGATTTGGGTCCTATTCCAGGTTCTGCTGGAAGACTCCTTAGTGATCCTGAGTGAGTTTCTTTAAGGTGATCTCCCTGGAGGGCATTGCTGAAATAAGAATGAGGTGCCAAAATTCTCCTGCTCTCTGCCTGTAGCACAGCTGTAATACATCCCAATTTTGATCTAACTTTGTCCAGTATGTTTAGATTTAGGATTTTTTCAGGACAGGAACTGTCCTGTTACCATCTGTTTTGGCAAGCTCAAGCTGAGCAGGCCCAGGCTGCAATTGGAGCCTCCTCGTGGTATGTGAGTATAACAAAATCCTAATAACAAACACAAAAGTGCCCTTAAGGCCCTGAAAAGCAATTAATTATGCTGGTTGTGAAGTGAGGTGGTGGGTTCATTTCCTTGTTGGCACTGCCATGGAGGCTTTGTTCTTGAATGAGCCTCAGAAGACTCTGGAGACCTCTGAGTGAGGTCAGAAGATGCCTCTGAAAGCCAAGGGGAGCGTGAAGGCCATGTTGGATGAGGCCTGGAGCAAAATGCTCTAGTGGAAGGTGTCCCTGCCCATGGCAGGGGCGTGGAATGAGATGGTCTTTAAGGTCCCTTCCAACCCAAACCATTCCAGGATTCTGTGGCTCTGTGAGTCTGTGAAGAAATAGGCAAAGACCTGCTGTTGTATGGTCAGTCCTGTGCTGTAATAAGTTTTACCTTGAGTGTGGCTCATGATACACAGTGGAGTTCAGATCTGCCAGACCTGTCTGAGCTTTCTTTGGAGAACCTGCAAGCTTCCCTCAGTTTTCCTCTTTGCTTGGGATGCAGCTTTTTGGTGTTCATTGTTGGGGTTTTGTGTACATTGGAGAGGGCAGACCCAAAGGTGCTTTGCCATGGCAGTGGGAAGTTTGCGATGGTCTCCAGCTCCCAAGGAGTCATTTTGCCTTTGACTTGAGTTGTCATTGGGGTATCCTTGGGATTCCTCCAGAGACCTGCCACTGTTGGCTGCAGGAGCATTGGGTGCTTCAGCTGTGCCTCAGGTTTGTAGTCAGTCCTTCAGCTTCTGTCTCTCCTCAGGGTTTCCAAAAGCCTCAGTGCTTGTTCACTGAGAGGAGACGACCAGTGGCAAGGCTGAGGTTAATTTGTCGGGAGTGTGGTCCACACCACAGCTCTGCGTGTGGTGGGATGCTGGGAGGGGTGTGAGTTCACATGTTTGGTCTTGTAGTGGCAAGTCCTCCCTGACCACATGTGCTAAATTTGTGAGTCAGCAGTTCACTGGAGGATAAAGTTCAAATGGTGAATGAGGGAATGTTCTTAAATAAAGGAATAGTGGTGCCAGTCTAGGTTGGAGCTTTCAGCCCAGCTGGGAGGTGGGAGGTTCTCAGCATCTGGGCTGAAGGCTGCAAAAGGAATGACTTTGTTACATCAGGGCATTGTTTTTCATTGTGTAATACATTAAATCAGCTTTATACCCTTCATTTTTTATGGATAAGTTGGTAAGAATATTTCCTTTCCATTTCTCCTCTTTGTTTTAATGTGTCTTGGGGAATAACTAGTTTATTAAGGCTAAATCCTAAGCAATGTGATTAATGGGAGAAGAATCCAAATCAGCCCCAAAATTCACATCGTCCTGAACAGACATCTGCTGCTTTTTTCTCTTTGTGTGTGTGAATTCCCATAAATTGTTTTATGTCAATGCACTAAATTGCTCCTAAATTCATAGAATCATGGAATAGTTTGGTTTGGAAGGGACATTGAAGATCATCTTGTTCCACCCGTTGCCATGTGCAGGGACACCTTGCACTAGGGAGGGTTCTCCAAGCCCTGTCCAGCCTGGCCTTGGACACTTCCTCTATGCCCACTGCAATGGCTTGGCAGCCCCAGGGAAACCCAGATATGTCTTCACAGCTACCCCTCAGGCTTGGCTTCATTTGACATGTCCTTCTGCTAGCATTGGAGTAAGTTCCTAAGGTCCCTTCTGCAGCTAGTGCAGGTCTTGATGTCAACAAAGTTGAGCTGGTAGCAATCCCTTCTCTGATGGAACATCACAATTAAATCCTTCAAAGGCTTTTGGTTAAAAACCGCATTAAAAGCAAGCCACAGATTTTTGAGTCAATCAGTTCTCAGCATCCATGGTGGATGCTGAGGTCCTACCTCCCAAAGATTAACAGGCCGATGGGATGAAATTGGGCTGTGCCACATGCAGGATCATAGAATCATAGAATGTTAAGGGGTTGGAACAGACCTTAAAGATTATCTAGTCCCAACCCCCCTGCCATGAGCAGGGACACCTCACACTAGATCAGGTTGCTCAAGGCTTTGTACAACCTGGCCTTGAACATTTCCAGGGTTGGGGTATCGACAC